ACGAATTTTTTTCTTAATTGTTCGATTTGAAAAAAAATTGATTCACGAGTAAAGCCCCAAAAAGTGTTTAATTTGAACGCTGTGCACATGTTGAATAAATACTGTTTCTAAAAAATTTATTTTCATGAAATAACTTGAAAAAAAAGTTTGCTTCTGCTAACTATTTAAAACCTTTTTGTACTTTGGTTTTTTTTTTGGAAAAAATAGGCTCTAGAAAATAACTCCCCCCCCCCCCCCCCCCCCCCCCCCCCCCCCACACAAAAGATGAATGGTCGATGCCTTGGTATTCCCGTTTTCTGCTGCAGAAAACGGAGATATAAGATATTCTAGGTGCGGGTTATTTCGAACTAGGGACATCTTGGACCATAACAAACTTGGACCATTGCAAACTGGGACTATTTCTTTATTGAATTTGATCGGCTGTCATGAAAGGATCCAATCATGCCAACAAACAGTTGTATCCAAAGCTTTCCAACAACATCAATATAGTTTTAAGCAAAAATTGTCCTAAGGTCCGTGGCAAAAATTTTATATTTTTTCATGAAAGACGAGAAAATATGAGAAACAGGGTAATTTGTCGTAAAATCGGCGTATATTCTTTTATTGAAAACATGTAAACGGAGCCTCCACAACAACTTATTAATAGATATAAGAAGATGTGGTATGAGTGCCAATGAGACAACTCTCCATCCAAGTCAAAATTTATAAAAGTAAACCATTATAGGTCAAAGTACGGTCTTCAACATGCATGGTTGTATGTATCACAATGGGATTCTTTTTCATTTTTATATTTTGATAAAAAAAACTATCATGACAAAACAAAATCCATTGGAGGTCAATATATATACGTTGGTTTAACTATTTTGGGCGTCTATTGTTTGTTCGTGTATTATATAAAAATAAGGAGATGTGGTATGCTTGCCAATGAGACAAATATCAACCAAAGTTCAAATGAAGTGGATGTAAGCAACTATAGGCAACCGTACGGCCTTCAACAATGAGAAAAAACCCATACTGTATAGTCGGAAATAAAAGATCCCGACATGAAAATATGAAACTATTCAATTGAGATAGTAATAGCATATTTTATAACATAACAATTTACGAAAAAACAAATATTACAGACTTGAACAAACGACAACCACTGAACTACAGGCTCCTGACGTTGGGACAGCCACAAAAAGAATGTGGCGGGGTGAAACATGTTTGAAGGCTCCAACTCTCCCCAAACCTGGAACAGTGGTGAAACAGTACAACATAAGAACAAACTATAAAAATCGTTGAAAAGGGCTTAACTCATCAGATCGATACAAAGAAGAAAAAACATCCGTAACAAAAACACAGACCGGACGTGGAAAGGTATTTATACATTCTTCAAAACAACAAAAACACAAAGTACAGATCTGAGAGTAAAACTCGCAGTTACTGACAGCTAGTTCAAAGACAATAACAACTTATAAAACAATCATGTATCTAAGACGCTGTGTGTCTATCATGTCCTACGTGCGTCTTTGTCAAATGATTTTCCTTCTCCGGGACATTACTTTGTATACCAAATTAACAACTACAGATTTTTGTTTTTTTATTTTTGAGTAAACTGGCTTAAAAAAGCATGTGATGCTGAAGCTCGATGACCTGTCAAAATTACTTGTACCTGATAATAGGCACAAAATTTAGGGAAATGCGAATATTGAAGAAAACAGATACTATTATTATTGACAATATCTTGTAAAATGTACAGTATTATTGCATCACAAAACAGGGCTCCAGTAGAATACCCCCCTTGGGTCGCGTTTAAAAAATGCATCAGTTTGCCTCACTTTTAAGATTTTTTTTTAAAAGTCGTAGGTTGTTTTAAATTAGACACAGAGTCGTCCACCTAATCCCTAAGGTGGCGTTCGGATTTGGCCATATTGGGGCCACACAATATTCAATATACATAATAGATTCTGTATTTATTTTATCAAGCAAATCATATTCTGACGCCGCTTAATTTGTTCGAAATAGTTTGATGAGAATCTGTATAAATAATTCCCTGTATAACGTAATCCGAATTCTGCATATATATACGAAATTAAAATTCTATTTAGTCTGTATTTGCGTATGCAAAGAATTGTAACGTCATAATTTCGTATATACGGTATTCGAAGTCTATCCGTACGGAAATAGTTCTGTATATCCGTTTTTTTTTAATTCTGTAAATACATAAACGATATCTGTATATACGAAAATGTGTAAAAATACATTAATCAAATAATATTCTCAAATTCTAATTACGTAAATACAGATTTTGAATTAAGTATAAAAAAGTATTCGAACTACCTATATATTATATACGGAATTTTACTGTACATATATAATAAGTTTTTACTAATCCTAGGTATAGCCCACGTATTGTCGGATGCATTTTAAATGACAATTTAGCACAAGCATTCAAAATAAAATGTATTTCATTTACTAGTAAGATTAATCAGTGATGCTTATTTAATTTTCCAAAAAAGGTTCTCAAGAAGATCAATTTTGTATATTAAAGAAGACAGCAATATTCTTACAGGAAACCGATTAGTCGAGTATCGTTTTGGTATTCGATACTCGGTACTACCGAGCGATACCCGAACACTCGAGTACTCGTTGAAATCCCTAATAATAATATATACGTTATAATACAGACATCATTTTTTTACCCTGATACCGCGCAATAATCATTTCTAAGTGTCGGACTAACTGACTAATGGATTGTCAGATTATTGGGCTGTCGGAGCAATGGGTAGTCGGATTATTGGGCTGTCGCTTTATTGGGCTGTCGGACTAATGGGTTGTCGGATCAATGGGCTGTCGGACCAATGGGCTGTCGGACTAATGGGCTGTCGGAATAATGGCGTGTAACCGTTTACACATATATACATATTCAAAGTAATTATTGGTATAAAATGTGTTTTCAGCTGTGTATCACCTTCAAAGGTGATCCTATGCATGGATATGTCGTAGAGTTTAACTTTTATATATAAATATATACCTCTAATGCGAGACAAAAATTGAAACTAAAAACTTTTACTTAACTCAATCAATATGTGATACTTTTAGAATCCACTTCTAATTGGATTAGTAAGAGTTGTCTTAATCCAAAAACAACTATGACAATATCAAGCCTTACTTATTAAAAGTACATTTTAAAAAGAAAATTACTGTCAAGACAGAAGTGGCAATATAGTTGCCTTAAAAGTGTAACAAGTATATAAATTGGCATTCTCGTCCACTTTTAACCCAAGTTACCTCGGACAGGACATTTTTTTAGCCAATTACTATGAACTATTAATTGATATTTTACTATCCACAGCAGTCAATGTTTATATGCAGATTAGTCATGAATTGCTAATCAAGTACAACTTTCAAATTACAATCTACATAACGAATTAGTGTACACATTTATTTACATATATCATTATTAACTACAAAATTCTTTTTTTTTAATGTTAGTTGACTTTTATTTGAAAGAAAAGTGTATGTCAACTATTAAAATTTAAAGAAGTACAAGACCTGTATTAATTATTTTCAAATATACACATCCCTTTGTCGAACGTTTTCCCTTGGGGAAAAAAATCGGAGATTGTAAATAAACAAGATTAACTGCAGAAGAAGAGATTGTTTGAAATGATGCTTAATAAAGTATGATGCAATCCCAGTTATCAACTTTAACAGAGAAAAATTCTGACTAACACTTTGAATTCGATATTTCTGAAATTGCTAGAAAAATCTCTGTCATATAATAAATACCCAAGGAAATTAAATATTATAAACATTTAGAGACGAATGGAAAAAGGGACACCAATCTCATAACGACAATTAAAAGCATGTCAAATATTAAATAATAAAAGTTTCAGTTGCAAAGTATATCGAAAAACAAAGTCATGGTCAAAACCATGAAAGACAACTCAAATCAATCGTATGATAGGTAAAGATACGTGTATATACGTGGTCTTATGACAGTGAAGTTTTGGCGGGAATCTCAATAATCACGTGATATATAAAAATCATGATTTCTTTCGTTTTTCATCATCTTAGAAATACTTGATATTGATAAAATTTATCCTGAATGGGTTTTATAGTTTAGGAATACTTAGTTAAAACCTGAATGACGCATTTAACAAAATTAGTAGGTTAGCAATAACCGGTCCCGTTACGTGCGGACGTCGAGTTAGGTACGTATGTCATTTTATTGGAAATCTCTAATGGAACGTAAGTCTAAAGCTACAAAAGTAATGTATATTGATTACTGAGTTTTTATATTAGTGATATATCAAATAGCATTTCATTGAATTAATAATGGATCGTGTAAAATTTCATTTTTTTTGGATATCAGAGGATTTCAGAACAGAAAGCGCGACAAATGTAACAGTTATAAAACCGAACAGGACACATAGTTATAAACTTATACACTTGTTACAATTTAATACATTTATAGAATAGATTGTTGGTACTTTACTCTGTCTGTACAGGATAGCCATTTTAAAGAAGAAAACATAAAATTTGATGGAACAGAAATATCACATTCAAGTATAATTCTTGCTACTGTAGTTTTATGATTTTATCTGAATCTTTTTGTAATAAATTTCCCCAAACTGAACTACATTAATTTAATATATATATATATATACAGAAAGAAAAAATAAAGCTCCATTTTGAAATTAATAACTCCTTACATTCCATTATCTTTTAAAATTCTCAATTTGATTGAATAAACGTTTCAAGACATCTAAAGTATATTTATCCTCTGACAGCTTCTTCTCTAAAATAATTTCAAAATAAACTACTTTGTCATTTGAATGATGTGTGATTTGGTATGGATATTTTAAATTTCAAATATGATGGATGACCTGACCTTACCATAATAATTGGTCCCTCAAGAGCAACGATTAAAACGAGGTAAACCAATATAATTATTTTTTAGTTTCAATAATGCATTGCATATGTCTTAAGTTTGTTATTCTGTGTACTTCCAGATGTCGGTTTTATACAAAGGGAATGAAAAAATGTACATCGGATTAAATATTGGATTCAGTGTGATGATCGGGATAATCATCGTATTATGTATTGTATGGAGACGCCTCTGTATTAAAACAAATAATATGATTCAACAGAGGCAACTACAAGCCCACGAAAGAAATCGTGCCTGGGGAGACGATGGCAAGCCTGTGAAAAAGAGCTACACAGCAAAGAAAGAAAATAATTTCTATAATGACAATATACATAACAATATACATAGCAATATACATAACAGCGTGGTTATAGAAGAAGGAAAAGTGCAAATGAATGAGGCTGAGTTCTTACAAAAATATATATAGTTCAAATCCTGTACTTTAAAGAGTTCTAAATTCAAATTCCAACGTTCTTCTTTTGGTTCTCTCTTTGCATTGCACCACTAACGTATTTGATTACATTCATTTAAATTCCTTTTGTTCAATTTGAACAATATATCAAGAATTTTTATCCTGAGGTAACCAGTCAGAATTGACAATTGTAAAAATTATTTTGTGCTTATTTTGCATTGCATTCCATTAGGTTTGTGTTTATCTTGAAATTGTGGTTTAACCTTAATGGTGTTTGTTTAAAACTCGTATTGTTTATCGATATAACTTTTATTGAAAGACATGTTTAAATCTAACAGTGATTTATCATTGTAATTGCATTTGACGAGAATTGGAAAGCATTCATAGCCTAACGCATGGCATCTTATTTCAAAATATATTTGTTAATAAAAACGGTTTCCTTTGTCTTATGTTACACAGAAGATATAGATCTGGGTTTAGTTTGACCTTTTTTCATTTGATCATCAAAACACTAAGCTTCTGTCCCTTCAACTAATATATAAAATGTATTAATTGTTCAAACAAACACATCTTGATATTTTCAAAATATTAACTGGCAGATTAATAGAGGCAAAAGAGAGACCATATCGTACTTTCTATTTCGATAACTGTATAGCATTCCATGTACGACTTGTTGAAGTGGATTATTTTGCTACTTAGATATTTACTTGCTGTTTGCCTCCTTGCAGAAAAAAGTAGATAGTTAAAATAATTTTATCTTTTTAAACATTTTTCAAAGATAGTTTAGGAATTTAGGGAAAAGTCTAGACTTTAACAGTACTTACAGCTCTTTTCATAATGCTAGCAAGACAAAGTTTTGTTTGACTTGCTTGCTTTGTTTGTATAAATGTTTGCTCAAGCATTGTAATTAAGATTGACATCTGCAAACAATATAAGCAGGCGTAGTTAAACCTGTGTATAGGTAAATTTGATTATGTGATAATGTCCAATCAAATTTAAATATAATGTATACAAGTTTAAATCCGCCTTTTTATGTTGTTTTCAGATGTCAATCTTAATTACAATGCTCGATCAAACACTGATACAAACAAAGTAAGCAAGCCAAACAAACCTTTGTCTTGCTAGCATTATGAAAAGAGCTGTAATCAAAAATAAATCTGGACTTAACAATGATTAACCAAATATTTCCAATAAATATATTAGGGTAGGCATGAAAAGTTAAGGTAGGTAGGGAAATACGACTAGATTATTTTGCCTTATATTTATGTTTAAATTGGTTGGAGTTGTACATCATAATGTTATATTATCAAATGTTTGCTGCTTTAATTTCATGTCAACACGCTTGTCATCGCGAATTTTGATTTGTTTTGTTGTTGGATTCCAATGTTTTTCTACTTTTTATTCCACTGACCGTTAGTTCGAGTTACGGTCACTACAATAAAGATATAACATGTTAAATTACATGTACGACTTTTTAACAAACTATTATATTTAATACTTAGTCCACTCTTTGACCTGTTTTATATTCATAATTTTATGTCAATCATTAAGAAGGTTAACCTTAATTTTGTAATAACTATGTGATCTGTGATATTCGGTATGTTAACATTGTCTTTCATGTACATGTATTGTGCGATCTCTAAAATAAAAGTTGTTTATCGACCAGAGCCTGTATATTTTGTTTTGAAATTAAAATAACATGAATAAAACATGTTTATTGATGCATTTATAGGGAAACATCACCAATAAATAACTATTAGATTTTTGAAACTCCGAAGGACAAGGAATGACACTACAACTGACACAATTATCTAGTTTTTATATACAGAATAACAAACACAACTGTTTGTACAATTTGCCAAGAAAAAACTTTAACAAACATGATACGCCATTTGAACAACTTTAAAAAACTGACGAGACTGTAAAATAACCGAAAAAAAAACTCACTTCATCAGAAAGTAAGTCAGAAATTAAATAGTATTGAAATAGTATAATTCATTACCATTATAAAGTTACATCAGTGCAGAAGATTTAATCTAATCTTGATATTTCATTTTACAATAATTTTCTTTGCGTAAAAACAAACACACAGACGAAATAGCAAATGTATTATGTAGGTTATATTATACTATATGGTTTACTCCTTCTATGGTTTTACTAAGAATTCTTATATCATTCTGTATTTGCCTTTTATTAGGTCCGGGGACACAGTTATCAATAGAGTCCCTCGTGCGGACAGTGAATAACTTGCGCACATTTTTTTCCATATAACTTCCAAATTTATTTCTTTATATTTTATGCATACAATAGTAAGTAGGGGGTGAAATTACATGTATTAACAATTTGGAGTAACTTTGCAGCCCCGGTATTTCGACACCCCATAAGTCCGACACCCCATTGGTCCGCCACCCTATTAGTCCGACACCCCATTGGCCCAACACCCCAATAGTTCGACATCCCATCGTTCCGTTTTCAAATAGTCTGAAACCGAATAATTGAACAATAGTTGATATAAATAAGAAGATGTGGTATGAGTGCTAATGAGACAACTATCCATCCAAGCCACAATGTGTAAAAAGTAAACAATTATAGGTCAAAGTACGACCTTCAACACGGAGCCTTGGCTCACACTGAACAGCAAGCTATAAAGGGCCCCAAAAAGACTAGTGTAAAACAATTCGAACAGGAAAACTAACGGTCTAATCTATATGAAAAAGGAGAAACGAGAAACACTTATGAACCACACCAACAAACGAAAACCACTGAACAACAGGCTCCTGACTTAGAACAGGCGCATAAAAAAGCAGCGGGTGTAAACGTTTTAACAGGCGCCAACCTTCACCATAACCTGAAACAGTGGTATAACATTACAACATAAAAAGACTCACAATAAAATATAAAATGCCGTAACTCGATCAAAAAGACAATACACAAAAACAAGTAAATATACACTGAACGAATAAGTTTTTTCTATGACACAATATAAATAAAAAAGATGTTTCAATGTCAAAAAGACAACTTTAACCTAGGACAAAATGGCGTTAAATAAAGAAACGTACACTGGTAAATTCAAATATAATAATTTTGTTGTTAGGAGTACAGAAACATGTTTTACAAAATAATTTTTTTATTATAGTACGAGTACAGAAGTGAATTTTTTTTTCGTCATACTAAATACTTATCAAAGGTGGAACATATTAAAAATAGTAAGACGAGATATAAAACAAAATAAGTAAACATTGAATAACAGAAATGCATTACAAATTGTGTCAACAGGTCAAATTAACACGAAAGTACGATTTGAGAGTACTCGCAGTTACTGAAAGCTAGTTAAAAGCCAAAAACGATTAATAATAAAAAATCAAGCATATATCTTTTTTATATTAGAAAGCCTGGTAACGTGTTTATTTAATATTAAAACTGCGTTTGGAACCGAAAGCCTTATCTATAGACTGATCCAAGTTATCAAGGTAGGTTGGTAGACATGTATTTGTGAAAATATTGGGATATACTCGCCAATAAAACATATAGAATGATCGAGACGCGGACCTCGTTGTTTTGCGTGACTAAAATACGTGCACTATCAATCTTATCTGCAGTGAACATTTTGTCAAACTCGAATATAATTTGTAAAGTTTTGTCGAATTATGTTCATGCAGTTCCGTAACTGTGTATCTCTCCCAAAGCAAAGAACTAAGAAAGCTAAGGCTTTAATTCCTTCCAAATGGAGCTCTGTTCTCCGTAAGGAATCTGTTTTGACTATACGAGTTCACAACATCAGTTAATTAAACTGATTAAATAAATAATTTCATCATTTTCTAGACATCTAACAAACAGGGAGATCAGATGGTTATGGAGTTTTGTATGAATCCGTAGGTTGCTTTGCAATGAACCACTTCTGATCCTGGCGGACCAACCTCTATGTATTTTTCTATGGACTGTATATCGGAACATGTCAGTATCCCATATTTATGAAGCTAGTGCAGACAAGTTAATAAAAAAACTAACTGGAAATTTAAATGTTATGAAGCAAAGGTTAACTCTTTTGGAATTAAGGCACTTAAAAAAATTAAAGAAATTTAATTTCATGTGTCTATATACATTGCAAATAAATCAAGTAATTTAAGACCGGTTTCAAATTAAAAAAAAAACTTATATCAACTAAACGCTAATATGGATAATGACTCTTAATACGGGGCGCAGCTAGATACGACCGCAGAGGTCGAACCCTGATTACAGTTGGGGTAAGTATGGACACTACATTCAAGCTTGATACAGCTCTGAATTTGGTTTACTGTGATTAAATATTTTACACAGCATAGGTTTCTGTCACAGAATGAATGTGGTTAAAAAACTTAAATATAAAATTTGATTTTGGATTTTACCTATTATGGTCTAATATTTAGAATCTAAATACACGGTTATATTCAGCATATCAAAGAACCTCAAGAATTCATTTTTTTTTGGAATCAAACAAAGTTTAATTTAGGACCCTTTGAACCTCAACGTGGACCAATTTAAAAACGGGGTCAAAAATCCAAAATCTAAATACACGGTTAGATTCAACATATTAAATAACCCCAAGAATTACAGACTTAAACCCCTATCGAAATTGCTCAAGAAATAAGCAATTTATACAAAGTATTATAAAAGTATTGTTTTGGCCCCTTTTTCCCAAACAGCCATGGCTATAACCCCCAACATCATTCTCAACCTTCCTTTTGAGGTATGGAACCTTGTGGTTCAATTTCACAGAGATCCATACATTTATACACAAGTTATTGTCCTGAACGAGAAACGAGTTTTTGATCTCTTATTTTGCCCTTAATTCCTAAACAGTTACAGCATTAACCCCAAAAATCAATTCCAACCTTCCTGTTGTGGTATGAAACCTTGTGGTACAATTTCATAGAGATCCATACACTTATACTCATGTTATTGTCTGGAAACCAAATGTCTTCGGACGACGACAACGATGACAACGTGATAACATTATACGAACGCAAAAAAATTGCGGTCGTATAAAAATAAACTTAATTAACAGGACTGTTTTAAAAACATATATAAAAGGCAATATCAAGCATAGAATTTGTACATGGAATGTACCCAAAACAGCTTTGACACAGAAACAATCTTTTTGTCAAGAACTGATACACATTTTTTCTCGTACGCTGGTGAAAGTGCGTAGCATAGAGACATGATAATCTGGTCGTATAGGTTGCAAAGAAGGGTTCATGTTTTCCCACCTTTTTTGTAAAAAGATAAATAAAAGATTGGTACATGTAAAGTCTTGTCGTTATTAAAATTTGTTATTCCTGAGGCGTTCTTGCGTCCTAACTCTCATTGCATTCTTGTGTCAATATCAGAGAAGTGGTGAGGGGTTGTTAGAGTTATTTTCACGCAACATGTTTGCTTTTGCTGTGCAATCGATTGATATTTCGACCGGTAATTAATATTTTGTAGAGCGGAAAGAAAATACAACCGAATAGTTTTTAAAAAGGAAAAATAAAACACAAATGGGAATTACAATGTACAGATAAAGGATTTGTTGTTTTATGAATATACAATTACAAATTTAATCGCTGATGTTAAAAGTACTTTCCCATGGCTATTTTTACATGATTGTTTACTTTTTAATGTCCAATGACAAATGTTTCATGTATTTTTAATACAAGTTCATTCTGACAGCACATTTCAAAAGTTTCAGCCTCAATAAAGCCTTCATATATAGAACCAGTTATCACTGATTGAACAATTTTACAATCGATGTTTCAAGTAAATTTTTAACTCACTCATTTTCGATAATATTATCAATTAACAACTCAACAACTTTCAGTTTTGAAATTTTTCGATCTATAATTTCGTGTCCAGTGTAGATGAATAGAATTCATCATGTTTGAAAAAATCAATTTGCATGATTAAATGATACTTTGTCGGTAATGCCAGTTTTCGAGACTAAATTACGTGAACGTTGAGAGACTGCACAACCGATCGCGATGACTGTTCTTTACATTTTCTTTTTAGTGGAGTGTAGTTTCCCATAGAACACACCTTGTTTTAGTTAACCAAAACTTGAAAGGGTTCTCGATTGCTTTATGTGCATATAGTCACGGTATTTCTTAAAAACCAGATGGGCGATATTGTATTATCCGTTTCGGTTTCTTTGACATACTTATAAGATAGAATAGTTCAAATACCACTCAAACAACGATTCTATTACGGCAGTAATTTACCTTCCTTTGTCGGACTAGTGGGGTGTCGGACTAATACGGTGTCGGAATATCGGGGCGACCCATAAATACATGTAGGTAAAGTAGTGATCTGGTCCAGTTTGAAAAGGTAAAACAATAGTATGTCTAGATCTGAAGCCGTCAAACTGTATTATACACCCCTTTACATAAAATTATCCTTAACTTGAGTGACAGTCTATAGACTTTTCTATAGTTTTGATATTATTTGTCCCAATGGTAGTACACTACACTGTAAAGTCCCAAGTAGTACACTACACTTTAAAAATCTTTTAAATTTGCGTTTTCTGTCTTAAATAAATGCACTATTGTTTTCTCGGACCAGTGTTTGTTATATGTCTGTTTTGTTATACTTACTTCATTCTGTCGGACTGTTCAATGTAGTTTTAATAAGAATTCCTCGACTGCTTTATAAATTGTTTATATATTCCGTTATTGTAATCCTTATTCAATGTTATGCCTTTCGGTCTCAGTTGATTTTTTCAATACTCTTAATAAATCATGATTTTACGAAATGGCAAGAAAAAAAATACACCACTCCTTCAAGGATATTCACGTGCTCAAAATACCGCATTCCAAATGTAAATTCAACCGCCGTCAATCGAAATTCCCCTTCTAAATTTAGCACTTTTTACAATTGTGTCAAAGATGGCAAAGCTGCTGCAGCCAGATTATTAAATAAAAATGCACGTGGATATCCACAAATGCCTGAAAATGACTAACCTGCTCTAGATTATCTTCTTATAATACTGTAAATCTCTTGATTCTTATTTGAACAAATGTATGAATGTTGTGGATATTCGAATATCACATTTTGAAAATAATTCAGAAATAAATAAGAGATTACATAATACGCCTATTTCTAGAATAAGAAACAAACTTCAAGTACTTTCAAAGCGGTTTGTGTTTGCACCGGCCGACAAAGCAGCCAACAATGTGATGGTGATATGCCGTAAATACTACACGGACGTTCTTAAGAATGAGATTTTAAATTCTTCTACATTCATGTCCGTGCGCTCCGCAGAGAGTCATATAGTAAACAATCATATCATAACCATATCACAGCTTAATGCCTCTTCTGAACATTTGAAGGTCCCTACTGTGTATTGGTTACTTAAACTACACAAAAAACAAGTATAATATCGTTTCATCTCGGCCTCTAGTATGTGTTCTACAACTAATCGGACCAGTGACCATTTAACTATTTCCTTAACTACTATTAAAAAACTCATCATTAACTTTTGTAATAAAACATATGAAAATAGTGGAATTAACTATTTTTGGAGTGTAAAAAAATTCTTTGGATGTTTTAGATAAATTACGTGATTTTGATGGTCCTTTTGATTCTGTTGACAGTTTTGACTTTTCAACTCTTTACACTACACTTCCACACAATCTTATCAAACAAAAGTTTTCCTATTTAATTACATGGTCGTTTGGTAAATCTGAATGCACTTATATTTGCTGCGACTCATTTAAAGCCTTCTTCTCTAATGAGAAAGGTAAATGGAACTATTTTGTATGAATAGATTATTAATACACAATACGTTTTTGTGCAATGCCTGTACATATAATTTTAATTGGTAATTCCTGTCTATTATTGGTCCAATCAGTGTGGGGGTTTCCCAGTTACTGCTGCATGTGAAATCTCGTTTACTAATTGCTTTTTCGAGATCATACTAATTAACCAATCAAAATTAACATTGCATTTGAATTAACCAATCAGCGCTTAATTAACAGGGCTTTTGTTTAAGGCACAATCACATAATTATTCTGAAAGCAACGCTTGCTTTGAGCAGACATTCAAATATTTCTGGGAAATAATTTATTCCCACCCTCCGCTCCCTAGAGGATAGTTTTCACTTTATTGCTATGTCATTTCAGCCTTTTATTATAATATATTGTTAATAAGTAGAGTAGTAATGTTTTCAAAAGAACTCACAGTTATCATGTACTTTGTGTTAGGGAGTACCACAGATTTTCAACTTGATTTTGCTTTGTTTGTAATTATGTATATTGCTTTATTGATATGCCAAGAAAATATTAAACTGTGGTTCTTTGTCCCAAACCTGTGTTTGTTCAGTTTATACTTCTAACCAAGAACCGGTTAACATGTCTTGGGCCCCTTACTGATCTCTGATTAGTGTAAAACAGATGCTTTCATTTGCACTGTATCTTTCCAGCGTTTGGTTCGGACCCCGAAAGAGAAAGCACTTAAGTAATAGCAACATAGTCCCTAAATAGAATAAGGAGCATAATATAGGGAGGATTGGGGGGGGGGGGGGGGGGGGGGGACTAGTAATGTGGATTAATATGCTAGATATACTAACTGGAGGTGTGATGATATGATTGAAGCTGTTAATTTTCTCCTTGATAATATTTATGTACGTTTCGGCAATACAGTTTATCGACAGGTTGTAGGTACTCCTATGGGTACCAATTGCATCCCTTAAGTAGCAGATTTGTTCTTGTACTGTTATGAATCACAGTTTATGACCAAACTCAGTGAAGACCCGTCTAAATTGCATTTAATTGATAAATTCAACAACAATTACCGTTACCTTGATGACATATTTTCGTTAAATAATCAAGAATTTTCTAAATATACTGCCGAAATTTACCCAAAGGAACTTACTTTAAATAAATCAAATATAAACGGTAATAACTGTCCTTTCCTAGATTTGAATATTTCAGTTTTACACGGAAAACTCTACACTAAAATTTTCGACAAAAGGGACGATTTTTCTTTCCCTATTGTTAATTTTCCTTTTTTGGATGGTGATGTTCCTTTGGCACCATCTTACGGTGTTTATATATCACAACTCGTTCGCTATGCCCGTGTCTGTTGTGACGTTTTTGGATTTCAATGATTGTACTCTATGTATTACTGGTAAATTATTAAGTCAGGGATTTCGTTACCACAAGTTACTTAAAACCTTTACTAAATTCTTCTATAGATATAAATATTTGGTTTTGAAGTTTTGTTGTTCCTGTAGATAATTTATTTCAAACGGGATAGCACATCCTAATTTTTACGGAGATGTTCTTTACCGAGACCGGAAATTTAGATACGATCCGGGTAAATTTACCTTATCGCTCCTTTAAATTAACTTATTCTAAAAGGTTACCAATTCAAAACTGTAATTAGATCTTTGAATATTGTGTTTATTGGTATTAATATTTATTTTGTTATCAGTAAATTAAAATCAAACTAAATATTATTTTTATATACATATGCACATTCATGGCTCTAAATTCTGTCGATACCTGTATCTTGGCGATTGCACAAGGTCATGTTTTTCTCTGACTGTTAATGACGTCTTTACACTAAATCCACTGGGCGTTGGATGTGTACTGATTGATATTTTAGTCTTAGATGCATGAATTTTTTTATTAGTTGTTATTGGCTTTGAACTAGCTGTCAGTAACTGCGAATACTGACAGATCTGTACTTAGTGTCTTTTTGTTGTGGGGATGTATAAGTACCTCTGTATTTTTGTTAGATGTATTTCTATTTGTATCCATCTGACGAGTTAAGCCTTTTTCAACTGATTTTTATAGTTTGTTCTTATGTTGTACTGTTACACCACTGTCCCAGGTTAAGGGGAGGGTTGGAGCCTTCAAACTAGTTTAACCCAGCCACATTCTGTATGTGCCTGTCCAAAGTCAGGAGCCTGTAATTCAGTTGTTGTCGTTTGTTGCTGTTTATCATGTTTGTTTTTCGTTCATTATTTTGTACATAAATTATGCCGTTAGTTTTCTCGTTTTAATTGTTTTACATTTGTCATATCGGGGCCTTTTATGTTGACTATGCGGTATGGGTTTTGCCCATTGTTGAAGGCCGTACGGTGACCTATAATTGTTAATTTCTGTGTCATTTGGTCTCTTGTGGAGCGTTGTCTCATTGGCAATCATACCACATCTTCTTATTTTTATATATAAAACATATGATATCTGTGCGTACAACACGTGTAAACAAGAGTATTTGGTCCTGCATTTGTATACATGTATCATTTGTTATTTCCTAGAATTATTGAATTAAATGCAACAAACAGACATTTTATACGGAAAAACGGGTGTTTATTTTATCTATGATAGCAGTTTATCCTTTACACTGGACTTTTGATCGGGTTATCTACTTTATAGTACTTGAATTAAAACAATTGTCAGTCTGCTCCATATTGTAGTTATTGCCCTTTAATGACGATTTTTACCATTTTTTGCTCTTTGCATTTATTTCGAAAACTGTCATAGATAGATAAAAACGTGAATAGAAAATATGATCCGCAAGACAAGATCTACAAATAATTCAACATGGCCGGATTTGACTCCTAAATATGAGTTATTGCCCTAATTGATGATTTTTATAATTTTGTTGCGTTATTGACTAATATTTTGAAAACTATAATCAGAAGACAGAAACTTCGAAAAAGAAAAAAATGATCCGCAAGACAAAATCTACAAATAAGTCAAATTTCCGAAATCAATGGTCGTCTCTTAAGAAGAGACATTTCCCTTGAATGACAATTTTTACCAAAAGTTTGCGTTTTTTCTTGAAATCTATAATAAATGGATCGAAATTAAAATAGCAAAAATGATCAGAAGACAAAATCTCCACTTACGTCAACATGGCCCAAATTGTCAGTCAACTCTTTATAGGAGATATTGTCCTTTAATGATATTTTTCCCCATTTAATTTTTTTTTAGGGGAACTTTTGGTGGATAAAGTAAAACTGTAAACAGCAAACTTTATCAGCAAGACAAGATCTACAAATAGGTGAGTATAGCCTAAATTGTCAGTCGACTCCTTATAGGAGTTTTTGCCCTTAAATGACAATGTTTACCCAATTTTTGTATTTAGGGCAACAACTATAGTAGATAGAGAGAAACTGCAAACAGTAAAAATAATCAGCAAGGCATGATCAACAAAAAAAAAAGAGATTCAGTCATGAATCATTTTCTAGTCTACAATGTTGGAAAGTGGCCATATTTGAAGATGCACCTAGATCCAAGTATGGGATACAGGCTCTTTAGAATCCTAGTTTATTACTGGATATATGTTACCTTGTCTACGAGAGAATTAACGGAATATGATAAATTGACAGTGATTAATATGCTAAGGTACGATGCGAGATCGTATTGTGACGTGTATTTCAGGGTAGCATAACTAAGGGTCTGGATTGGATTTACAGAATAGAGCATAATGGTAAGAAAAATTAATAAATAGAGAAAAATGAGCAAAAACATAAAGAATAGAGAATAATGGGGTGCAAAAATGTAAAGAATAACTGTGGAAAATAAAAGAATTAGGTAATACAATACTTATTTCAGAAATGAACGATGTACAGAATAAAGAAATCATATAATTACAGATGAATTTAATAGTAAAATAATTTCATGAGAATTTTACAGAAAAAAACGTTATTTCTAAAGATAAGAAAAATGCCACAAAAATTGGTGAACACTAACATGAAAGACCCACCATCCAGTCAGTCAAAACTTTGTTGCAATTACTTCTTGGAAGGAACATCTGCAAACGCAGAATACAAAACTTGGATAAACTCAAAACCGAAAAAAACATACACTGGAAACTCTTTCTTTAACTGACACGCCTTTTTTTTTACACATATCAGTACAGATTTCCAAGCAATGGGATTATCAAAGTTGTCGTTCTTTGTACATTTTGTACTTATAATATGGAGAATTTTTACGCCAAGAAAAATGATAGCTTTGATCATATTATATATATATTTATTAAATAGAAGTATGTCAATATTTATCAAAGAAAAAGTGAACATTTTAGTACATCTAGTGTAAACGGTTCAGTGATTTCGTCTGTCTACTTCTTAACCCCTTTGATAAGATTTACCCCGCTATTTCAGCCTTTATAATGCAACTCCTATAATAGTGAATTAAATGAATTAATGAAATCTACTCAATTAGCGTCACTGATGAGTCTTTTGTAGACGAAACGCGCATTTGGCGTATATAATTTTAACCATGGTATCTATGATGAGGTTATTTTCAACCACTGGGTCGATGCCACTGCGGTTGAAGGTTTCCTCCCCGATGGTATCACCAGCCCAGTAATCTGCACTTCTGTGTTCATATGAATTATCATTGATATGTTCATAATTATAGATTAATAACATTAACGATACGAATTTTACTGCGCCAGATGCAACTGTTTACAAAACTTTGAGTTTTTCGAAATACGATGGAATTTCTACCCCAGGAAGAGAAAACCTTAGCTGTATTTGCCAAAACCTTTCGGAATTTTGGGTCCACAATCCCCTTCAACTCCGTACTTTATTTGGCCATTTTAACTTTTTTCATTGGAACCGAAAAAACAACAGTTCATTACATATGTTTTAGTTGTTTTATTCATTATTGGATACTCAGTTATGTATTTGAGCCCCATTCAACATTCCAACGTGTCTTTGTAATAAAAAAAACAAAACAAAAGTGACTCCGTATTGGCGAGTTTTGTAGCTAATTTTATCAAAAATCCAAAACAATCTTTCCGACATCTTAATAGTTTGATATCCTGATATTCAGAAGAAGGTAAACTATTATGATATGATAAAATCTCTTTTACAATAATGGTTTGCAATTCACTCAGACAAAATTGACCTAATATGCTTTTGGCTATAATTTCAAGCCTCTTAAGTAATGTAACTATCTAACTTATCCAACGCAAGCTGTACTAACCTTTGACACTGAACATTACTGACGATGGTTGACTATCGAACCCATTAAAAGCTGAGTTTTACTTTGATTGGAAACTACTGTGCCTTCTGAATAACATTTTAGTAGTCTCGGTGCGTGTAATTCGTCTAGTCGTCTAGTTTATTTCAGAGCATATCTTCAAGGCAGCTATGAATCCCTCAACTGTGTTGGCAGTTGGTTCCAGTCGCTGATGGTCCTTTGATACAAATGATAGGCAATACGGATATGCACTTTTTCTTTCTTGGAAGAAACGGTTTTTGGCTCTTGTCCAGATATCGTTTGGAGTCGGGTATTGTTAAAGATCTATTTCGATTAGATCCAGCTGAATTTGAATAACATGCACAATTTGTTTGTTCTCTACCGTTCTAAGAGGCTTTCCCATTCTTTAACACTGCCAGGTGTTCAGTCTGTGTAGCTGTTATCCACAAATCTTGCTGCTCTCTTCTGTATTTGCACTATTGCCAAATCTTATTTTGGTTTGTTGGATCTCATATGTGCATACATATTCCAATGTAGATTTTACCATTGAAGTATTTGCTGCTGCCTTTACATGTTTTTTGTCAATCTATAGGAATTCGATGGATAAATCCTAATGTTTCATTTTCTTTACTCACTTTATTTCGAGTATGTCTATCCCAGGTTAAGTGGGGCCTGATGGTTACTTCTAAGAATTTGCTGGCTTCGACAGTGTCTAATGTATGTCCATGGAAATTGTATGTTGTTTGTAATTCACTTGTCGATTTTTCGCGAATATTCTTAATACAATACATCATTTTGGCCCCTAAACTATTTACCATATATCTCATTCTTCCAATTTGGTTACATCTTTCTGTAACAGGTCTATGTTTGCTTGGTTGGTGATGGAACGAAAAGTAAGGCTTTCATCCGCAAACAATTTTGTCTCTGATCTAGTTGCTGTTTCAGACATTTCGTTGATGTAGGCCCGAAACATTTACTGTTCAATGTTCTGTGCCTTGAGAGTACTGGTGCTAGCGTAGAGACAGTTAACTCAAGTGTAGCACTCTATTCTCTAAAAGAGAGGCGAAAAATACCAAAGGGACATTCAAACTCATAAGTCAAAAATAAACTTACAACGTCATGGCAAATAAAAGAAAAAGACCAAAAGACAAACAACAGTATACAAAACACAACATAGAAAACTGTTAATTGAATCCATTTGTTGCTTTTAAGGTTCACGTTGTGATGTTTCAAATTGTGTAGTAAACGGTGATGTTGCACTTTGTAAAACGCTTTTGCAAAATCAAGAAGGATTATATCTACTTGGGAGAGCTTTTTCATCTCGATGCGATGTCGTAAATGGTTATGGTGAGTTGAGATTCACAATATCGTCTTTTCGTGTTGTGCATAAGCTAGAATTACATTTATTACATTTCTGTCAAAGTGGTCCCTTATGTTACTGTGTACGATGTGTTCTAAGATATTGCAGGTGATGGAGGTAAGAGATACAGGTTTGTAATCAGAGACTAAGTGTCTTTCGGCTTTATTAAAAAGCTGAACTGCATGTGCATCTTTCCAATCTTTTGGGATTTAACCGGTGTTGAGTGATGTTTGATACATCTGTGTAAAGATTAAAGCAAATGGGTCTGCTGCTTTCAGAAAGAAAGATTGAACCAGGACCATTGGCTTTATGAGGTTGAAGGGTTTTAATAGCGTGTGGACTTCATTGATGTTAATTTTAATATCCTACATAGTGCAATATAGGTTTTTCTCTTTATTTGTTGCAAATTTGAAGAAATCCCATATAATTCTTTAACGGTGCTACCTTTGTCCATCCTAGGCCTTTGCTCTTGATGTATGATCATAAGTTATTTTAGTTGTCCTAATATTCAGTGCTGAAATCTTCTATGTACTTCTTGTTGGCTCATCTTATTTTCCATTGTACTTCTTGTTTAAGTCTTTCATACCTATCTATGTCTCTTTAGTTTTTAATTTTTCCGTCTTCTTGTGTGCTTTTTGTTTCTGGTTTATTCTACGTCTAATTGTTGTGTTTATTAATAGATGGGTGTGTCTTCCTTGTGTCATAATTATGGTACTCTCTCTCTTCTCCTTGGTGCTATGTTTGGTTGATTTAAATTTCTTCTTACTCGTTTTTGTTTTAGTAGCTTATATGCAATATCTAGTAGATCGATGTCGTGATTGCTATTTGATATTGATGGTAACGGGTTGCATCGTAGTTTAAATGAAAGATGAGAAGTAAGCATTTAATAAACGTCTCTATGTACTTAGAGTCTACAATTTGTTCTAATCCATTGTCGACTGCAATCTCTAGGAAACTCGTGGTGTGTTAATTGTACCAGTTAACAGTTTAATGTCTGTGCTTTTTGTGATGTTTCCCGGTTGTAATGAGTGTTTAGCTGCTATCATTACTCCTCCGTGGAGTTCTTATGGGCAATCTCTGTGTTCCGTGTCATAGTGAAAGTATTCTGGAATCATCTCATTTGATTTGATATTTAAATCTAACTATGGTTCGTTGCCTATTATCATGTCTGGTTCAGTTGACTCAATAATTGCTAAATGCAGTTTAATATTTTCTTAGACTTTGGAATTTGTTGTTTCATTGTCTCAATTGGTTTTGGTGATGTCATGATCGGTATGTCTGTACTGAAAATGGTGAATTAAACGATGGGAAGCTAATGCTTGATCCTCATATTAGCTAGATGGATGTTTCAGATATACTGTCTGCCATAACTAGATTAGCTGATTTATTTCAAGTTGAATGCTTGTTTTCATCTTCATTTGGTATGCTATATATTTTTGTTGAAGAGTTGTCTGGTTCGAAACAAGATGGGCAAGTCAATTGTCTTCCTTTTTGCTTTTATTGCTTAAACTATGTTATTGACATTGTTATGTAGCTCCTGTTGTTCCACTTGCTATAGTCGTTACAAACTACATATATTATGTGTTGCATGCTTTCTGACATATTTTGCAGGGGAATCTCAGTCGTCTGGGACCTGGATTTGGTTTTATACCACTCAGTAAGAGTAAATCAAGTATTTGTACACTCTTGTCTGTTATATCAAATAGACATCGTTTAATTCAACATTTTCAGTACAGATATACCGATCATGACATCACCAAAACCGATTGTGAACTTTCCATTTTTATGTAGCAAAATTCCAGCAGCGCTTGCATACGGATTATATATCTCCCAGTTGATACGACACTCTAGGGCTTGTATTTCCTACCATGATTTCCTTGATAGAGGTTTGCTGCTCACAAGGAAGCTATTAAACCAAGAGTTACAAGTGGTGAAGTTGAAATAACCCTTGGTAAATTTTACGGACGCCATCACGAGTTGGTTGACAGTTACGGAATTTCCGTTTCACAGATGATAGTGGATATGTTCCTAATGTCGTTACTACAATCACGTCCCTTTTCCCGAATGTGACCAACCGAATTAGACTTATTACCGGGTTTGTACTAACATGAGCAACACGACGGGTGCCACATGTGGAGCTTGATCTGCTTACCCTTCCGGAGCACATGAGATCACCCCCAGTTTTTGGCGGGGTTTGTATTACTCATTCTTTAGTTTTCTATGTTGTGTTTTGTGTACTATTGTTTGTCTGTTGGTCTTTTTTTTTTTAGCCATGGCGTTGTCAGTTTATTTTCGACTTATGAGTTTGAATGTCCCTTTGGTATCTTTCGCCTCTCTCTTGTCCCCGACGATTATTTATTTGGACAAGTCATTCGGATGTTTTTTTTTTACATTTTTTCCCAGCAGTTAGTTGAAATAACTGGATTGATACGGTGTTCAGTTAAGATATGTCCCCACATCAATATCACTATTTTTGTAAACGTAGTCCTAGTGCATTCGTTTGTATTTATGATGTGGTGTAAATAGTATATGACTTACCACGGAAGCTTGGCTTGTCCAAAGAGTAAGTGAAAGCATGAAGACTGTAATAAAACATTTCTACTTTTGTTTATGCACCTTACACTACTGGTATTTACTAAAAGGAGGATGCTTCAATCTGAGTCTCCGTATTTTATTCAATCAACTTTAATTGTCTACTTGTAGAAGAAAAACATGGGTTTGATTGTATTGTTGTTGTAGTGATCCTATGGAAAAGGTAAGCAGCAAAATTTATTCTTGAATTACAAAATGAAAAAAGTTACTTAGTATTCAAGTATCACAATGCTTTGCCCTTCAAAGGATTTAGTGTTAATAGCACATCTTTGTTATTTTCTTTTAAATTCTATTTTTTTCTTCTTTCGGGTATTGGGAATTAGAGCTCTACACACGGTAGAGACACTTGTCTACTTTTGTTGAATACCATAAGTTGACTTCAAAAGTTGTTCTCATTCTCGGGGCTCCAATCTATTTCTATCTTTATGCTTCACATTGTGGTCTCTATACTACTATACACAATGTTTTGGGCTCCAAGGACTAAAAGACCCGTGGAACCCGTCTCATTATCATTAAAAATTAAAGGGGTTGTCATAAATAAATTTAATCAAAAATAAATATGATGAATAATGTAACACTTAATATTTGGGCAATAATAAAGAGCATGCATTTCAAACTCTTTAATTCATGCTGTAGATGTGTCGAAGTAAATATATGCAAACTGTATATATGAAATGATATAAACGGACTTCAATTAAGTAGCAAAAGCAAAAATGCGATCTTAGCGTAACCCAATGATCAGGTGTTAAATTGTAGTGTTGATAAAAGATATCTTCACATGATACAAGAATTCAAATGACGGAAAAATATTTGGTCATAGCTGAATCTGTTTTTTTTTCAACAATCACAATAAATTATTTTGCAATTACTTATAATCTCCCACATGATTACGCACAGGGACAATTAAGACCACTGTATATTGTGACATCATACATTCGTTAACCAATGTTTTGACAGCATCGATTATTGAAAAATCATCATAAGTCACAGAATCTTGCAGGAATCTACACAGACTATCCGGAGAAGATATCAAAGCTAAAGGTATGTCTTTTTTTACCTTTTAAAAAAACTTATAAAGATAAACGTTAAAAATAAAGATTTTAATACAAATATTGCAAAACAGTTGGTCGTAGGTAAAACATGTTATATGATAGGCCAAAATGGACAACATTTTATCTAAATATATTTTCAAAATAAGAATTCAGATCTGTCAACAAGGTGCCATAACAAAAACTTCATCGATAGCAAAATTAATGATTTTAAATTTTACTGATTTCATTTATACGTATGATATAAGATTTTCAAACCCGATACATATATTCTTTAAGGGAATGGCTTTTCTAAAACTAATAATAAAACCAATACTACCTCTTTAAAAAATTCTATCATCACACACTATCGGAATATATATATCTAGACAAAGCTGTCCTTTTATTGGACATTTTGGCTCTGCAACGTTTTGTATTTTTGGCATTCCAAACTTTCTGTCTTGGTCGTACCCGATGATGGGTATTCCACAAATACGTGTTGTGAGCACCGAAAATTGTATTAATTTTAGTATCATCTTTGCAGTACACACGCTCAAAAGAGGGAAATTAAATTCTTAACATTGTACTGATAAGAATGCTAGTCTACCTTATGTTCGGTCAAACTATTGGTCCTTCTGGGTTTTAGTAGGTCTTAAATTTTTTTCAATAATTTTTGGACTTAAAATATTTTGGCCTCGAGCATCACTGAAGAGACATTTACTGTCGGAATGCGCATCTGGTTCAGTAAAATTGAAACCGTTAATGTTATTACATGCTACATCATAGAAAAACTTCAAAGAATTAACAAAAAATCTAAATATTGGTATATTTTAGCTCAAATTATATACTAACTACTGAATATATATAATGTTTCAGAATATTTACTAAATTTATCCTAAATTTTAGTAAAACGCTAGATTTAGATGAAATAATTATATACAGGTCAGGTTCCTTTGATAAAATTCAAAGTAAATAGATCTTTAAATTGATGAATATCTTATTCCTTGATTGGTACTAGAAAAAAAATAATTCTTTTTTGTGTGTCTGCTTAACGTCTAGTAGCAAATATTCTATACATATGCGAACGACATTGACTTCAAGTTACAAGATGCATGTATTTTTTTTAAATCAGCATTTAGTGTGTATCTTTACAAAAAAAATATTTTGGGTATCCGTATACTTCCATTTGACATCAAACCAACTGAAAGGGAAAAAAAGACATATCAGATTCATACGACAATACAAAAATGTTTATACAAAATGTCAAGATCCAATTCTACATAAACAGATGCGAGTAAATTTGATTTGAAAAATATCTGTCATCAACATCAACTCCCTTTTGGACAAAAACATTGAGTTTTAACCAGAGAAAACTACTGACAAGGTTCTTGACTTAGAACGGGCATATTTACCAGAGAAAACTACTGACAAGGTTCTTGACTTAGGACGGGCATAATTATTTTTCAAGTCGATAATCCTCCTGCTAAAGATTATTGTCATCTTATATGCAGTGAAATAAATAAATGAACAAAAGGTGTACGACTACTGGCCTACGCAAAACGCACGTTATCATACCGATCTTTTAGCTGGTGAACTATTAAGGTTTTGTGGTTTAAGAATTGTATGTGTAGCATAAATAAGAGTAAGCTTTAAAATCTAATTGTTGTAAATTCCCTTTAACATCTCGTGACGTGGCGGTTAAATTACTTTTTCTTTTCAGAAACGTTAGCCATTTGAGTTGCACAAAAACCTTACAACACTATAGTGATATAAATTTCGCCACACTACAAACAAAATAACCTTTTCTCTGTAAACCCCTATTGTATTTCAAACTTGTTCAGATGTAAAAATTGTTTACAAATATAAAAAGCCATTTTTAACAGATGTGGGCATTATATTTATATGTGTTGTATTGTCTTGAACTTATTGTAATATTATCATTATCTTTATTAGGTTTTGCTTTGACCCTTGTAGATACACTGCTATTCTTTTTGCATAGTGATTTCCTTTCAGAATTTTAGCATAGTCGAGCCATTTAATTGTGTTATGCTTTAAGAGGCTTTATTACAGTGATGACTTTCCGTAATAGCGCAATGATAAGAATTGGAGGAAAGTTTTCTCCGGAATATCGGAGTAATGAGTGTATCGGATATTGAAAACAAGTTTTAATGTTTGACACTGTAAAATCATTTCAACTTGAAATCACTTAGCCTAGAGATAGGAATAACACTTCGCCAGTACCAAGTTAGAACTATTACAATTGTTCCACAACTCTCTTAGTCAGTTGATTTGGACTTTCAAGTTATTGTCGGATTCATCTTTCTCGGTACTTTTAGTTGACGGAATGTTTTGTATTAAAGAGGAGAAATGCACGATCTACAATACGGTTATTTACGGTGGATTTATCACAGAATAAAAACGAAATTTAGGTTGCTGCATATTTTATGTGGACTATATAACATTTAAGGGAACCATACTATGAAATACTCATACAAAAACCTTGACGATCATTTCTCTTTTTTTTCGAAACTGAAATACAAACTTAACTAAGAGATCTCCTTGCTAGAAGATAAAAGCATTTGTGAAAGTCATGGAGAAGACACAATCTCTACGACAGTGTTTATATTAGGATCAATTACGATCGTTCAAATAAAAGAATACAGTTGGTTCTTTCATTACAAAATATATAAGCCGATTGCAATGGATCGAAACTTACATTGGCATCGATCTAAATTGATCTCAATCTATTCTATTGTTCTCATTAGATTCAACCCCTTGCGTTTATTACCACCTAAATCTAAAAATGAAAACATATAATTACAAGTGATTCGTCTTGCATATAAAATTTTCAAAATTAATAAACATATATATCAAAGCTTTTGTTTTATATCATATGAGAAATGTGAATAGAAGGATAAAGTCTGTTTTGAATGGTCCTTTTCTCATTATGGCGATTTCATTAACAGAAGTACACTCCCTATCTCTAAACTCTAAACTAATACAGCAAGGTTATGAAGACGAAAAACTAAAATTATAACTTCACAAGTTCTGATGTCGACATTAGGTGATCGTTAATGACTGTGTTCCAAATTCAGATGTCCATTACTGTCAATCTGACATTATTATCGGTTGTGTCATGTTGCTATTGACACTCACTACTTGAGATTTAACTGGAGTAGCGTCACGGGTGATTCGTGCTTGGCATGATTATCTTGTCAAAGCAATCGGTCCCTATCCTTCAGTATTTCGTACGACAATTGTTTTCACTCCCGTTTTGTCACTTTTATACCAAGACTGACGAGATATTAATTGATCAGTATACTTTCTTTATGTGAAAGACACAGATTTGTTGATATTAAGCAATTATTATTAAAGCTTGCAATCAGCTTACAATTACTTAATATCCATTATAGGACAGAATCAGAGTCAATTAAATCTATAAAACTCAAATAACCATTAATATAGATATAATTTACCATAGGCGGATCCAGGGGGGGGGGGGGGGGGGGGCTGCCCCCCCCCCCCCCTTTCGTGGGAAAAATTTGGTTGATTATATAGGGAATCACTGAAGCATGACTGAAGCGGGCCCCCCTTAGGTCAGTCAGCGCCCCCCCCCCCCCCCTTATGAAAAGTTCTGGATCCGCCACTGAATTATTAAATTGTACCCTAAAAATATCAGAGCGACTCCACATAAATTAGGAATAAAAAATTTATATAACAATATTAAAACATTTTTGTATACTTATGGTTTCAGTGATTTTAAGTTTATTCGGCACTGACTTACATTTGATCAAACTTTTATTGATGATCAAAAACTCCCACAAGTAAATGTTTATGGTAGTTTTGGTCGTTATCTGTAGTTCTCTTACTTCTTTTATATGCATTTGATTAAAAAATACATTTACCTGGAGGCTAATTGGGGAAGTTTATTACAGAAACATTATACCTTGAGCGTATATGAAGAGGTTTATTACAGAAACACCTGTCAGGCGTACCAAAAGTCTCATATGTTCTGATAATATGAAAGAAGATATCATTTTTACAAAAGTTAACATGGTTAAAGAAAAAAATTGTTAAAATTTTGAATTGGCAATATAAAGAAGAATAATCAATCGCAATGACTTACTCATGATTTGATTTTATGAAACAGGAATTGAACGGTAAAATACTGTCCTAAACTTTATTTGATATATTACTTTAAGACTGTAAGTTTCTGTTATTTCAACTAATAATCTCAATTCACATGTTTCGTCAGAAATGCATTTTTATCAAATTTTCGTGGTAACCGACGGAAAATCATATTCCTTCCTTTAAATACAGCGTTGGAGCTCCAATTACCCAATTTGCTTTGAAACCAACATAACTGTATTTTTTAAGTTTTCTTTCTTCGGACTGCTTATCAATGATTTTAGGGGGTGGAAGAATTTATTATTATACTTCACGTTAAAATATCATATTTTGATTGGCTAATACGAGGGTGTTAATTTACTCTATTACCCTTCACGGAGACGCTTGATCAAGTGTGCGCTTTATTAAATACGACTCTATCCTATGGCAAATACTCTATTACCCTTCACGGAGACGCTTAATCAAGTGTGCGCTTTATTAAATACGGATGGCTATTATGTACAAGACGTCATAGTTTATTACTTTGAATTTGAAATTTAATCGACAGTAATAACAGAAAATTCAGTATAACAAATTGCTTTTTAAAAAAAAAAAAAAACAATACGTGAACCTTAGAACTTTTTTATTCTAATTATAATTTAACTGAATAAGAAATTATATATCAGTGTTATCTTGGCCATGTGTGTGGAAGATAATATTTTCTTTTTGTTGTAAATCATTACATTTTTGGCGTGTTGAGAGAAGTGTTAGATATAAAGCAAGGAGAGAGAAAAAAAGATTCCCAGACGTATAATTTCTTAAAGAATAATAATAATTCAAAACATGGAGAACACATGTACCTTCTTCCAAAAATTCATAAAATTAATCTAGAAATAAGTAATGAGG